AAACAGTACGCTGGTACTGACCATGCCGTGCCGGTAGAGTTCCGGTAGGCCGATCCCTCAACTGAGGCGGGTACCGGTACTTATACCGGTAGGCAATGGTCTGGCCTAAATGCTGCGAGGCCAGGCCAGACCCTGGACCGTCCAGATGGACGGTTCAGCCTCAATCGGCGGGCGGCAGCTTCAAGAGCGCCGCCAGGACCAAACGAAGTGTCGTTTGGGCCTACCCGATGGGTGCTGGTCCAGAATCAGGCCTTTAGGGCCTGTAACCCCAAAGGTCGGGCCTTTAGGCCCTGGTGTGTCCCTCCGTCCCTAAGTCGGGTCCGGTAGGACCCGTGTGAGTCGAAGATGTAACACCACGTCAGCAAGACTGCCGTACAATGCCAGCCCACTGCCTCCCTCATGTCGTCGTCCGTAGTGCCGATGCACAGCCAGCGTCCAGCCAGCGTCGCGCTAGCAAAATGCCAGCGTCTAGTCAAAGTCGAGCCAGCGTTGAATCAGCATAGCAAGACTGAATGTTGACCACCTCGAGGCCAGACTTTAAGTAGTGTTTGACGAGGCTCTCTGGCCTCGGGTCTCCTCCCCTCAGTCGTCCAGATTGAGTCACAGCCGAAGGCCTGGATTGTACAGTTGCAGCATTCCCCCTTGGACTTGATGCGGTCTGGGTACCTGCATACAAACAAGTGTGTGTGCTTGGCCGGCGGCCTGGACTGGGTACCTTTGGACTTTGACTGTTGGGTTCGCGACAGTTGACAGAAGTCAACTGTGGCACGTCCAGGCTCCCTTACGCCGTTTTTGGCCTGGCTGAGGGCGGCCAGGTCGGCCCTCAGATTTCACGAGACATATGGCATGGGTTATTGCACTTTTCTTCTTGGTTGCGTAACTGGTTAGAACGGGCAAGGCCTGCGCATTTTGTTCCATATTCTTCGGACGAAGCTCGCTTCTTACCAGGCCTATGTGGATGAGGGGCACACCTATGAAGTAGTATGAACTGTTGATAAACAGATCTAAATTTGAATCCTGACCGAATCAGACGAGTAAAATAACCAAATCATCTTGGGCTGGACAGTTTGACGATGATACCTCAAGGCTGTGGCACGTTTCTTTTTTAAAGAAGCTTGCTTCGTATCAGTTGTTGCTGTTTCAGAGACTGTCGATTGGACTTAAGAGTGAAATTCATTTGAATAGATTCACAACTTCACATTCTTGAGCAGTGATTAGGCTCAGTCAACCAGCACTTTCAATATCGTTGTGGCCCGATGGACCACTAGGATCAGATATTGAAGTTAATAATTGAACTGATGATCAGAACAACAGGGGGGGGAACTCAAAGCAGAATGCAGCTGATTTTTAATATATAAACTGATGACAGGAAGGAGGCGTTGCAAATCCGGAAGTTCACAGCAGCAGTGCAGGTTAAACCTAAACTAACCTGCATGACTCTGCCACAACCTCTTCAAATCATCTCTAATGATTCTTCTTCTTCTTCTTCTTCTTCTTCTTCTTTTATCCTGTGTCAGTATGGAATATTTCAGCAGAATGACAGCTCTCACATTAAAAATTGAGTACAGTACAACCTTGAAGACGGCAGTGAGCACAGAAGAGATGCTTCTTTTTAATTTATGTTATGATCCTGACCAATTTCGAGATACACATCCACCGGAAAGTAAAATGCCATCCGATTGCAGAAAGAAATGAATGAACTTGGGAGGAGAGAGAGGATTAGAAGAAGAAGAAGAAGTAAGAAAGAAGACGAAGAAGATGTACACAAGCCAAAGACAATGATAAGGCTCTTCTTCTTCGCCCAACAATCTCCTCCTCCTTATCTCCCCCTTCTCTTATTCATACAAGAAATAATAGTACAATGTTGAATGACTGATCCAGAATCAATGTCCGAGTCCCTCTTCTACTGCAGGTATCACTTAGGGTCCACCATAGCCATGACCGCCTCCCCCACTCTTCACTCTCATAGGCCGAGGCTATGGCAGACTACTGGGCTCTGCTCAGATGCCCAAAGGACAACCCAAAGCAGCTATGGCTGCTCTAGCTCAGGCCACCATGCCTGACCCTGCCCCAAAGCTTCTTGGTGTAGCTCTACCCAGCTGGGGACTCCCTGCTGCAGCACCCACCAAGGTGATGAAGATGGCTGTATGGTCAGGTAAGTACCCCTGGCGCTCCTCCCCCTTCCTTCCTTCTTCCTCCTCCTTCCTCCCTCGTGTCCTTCTCCTTCCTCCCTAGCAGCGCTGCTCCAGCTTAGCGCTGCTCCAGCCAGCGCTCCACCAGTGTGTCGCCAAACTTGCACACCGAAAAAGAGGCCACACTCTCCGCCCGGCCAGAAGATATAGCGGCCTGCTTTGCCTCTTTGGCGGTGACTTCCAGGCCGCTCGGCCTCCCAAGCAACCAGTACCTCCCCCCTTTCGGAGGGAAACATCATTGCAGACTCTGATATTGCCCGTTACAGGCCCTAGACCCAGACTGGTTGGACCGATATCCGCCTAGACCTACCTACAACTACTGGGCCTCTCAAAATGCCACTTTGTCTTCTTCTGCTCGGCCTCCGGTACCTGCACATCTACCCCTTCCAGGTGCGGTACCGGCCTACCCGCTACTTGAGTATTTTTCCCCGCTGCAACCCCTCAATGTCACGGCCACAGGTAAGTACCAGCCCTGAGGGCCCAACGAATGAGCAAGTGCCCTGACGGGCCACCCACATACTCATGCCAACCAACACTCAGACAGGCATGGTCACGCACACACCCAAGCCAACCAACACAGACAGGATGGTCACACACACACTCAAGCCATCCAGCACTCAGACAGACACGCAGTCCAGCAAGCGGGCACTCACAGACTTAGTAGCAAGCAGGAAACTCAGCAGGGCATTCAGTCTATGGGCAAAACTCAGAAATCAGCTGTGTGTTTCACTCCGTGTATGGACGGGTCATCACACTACTCCCCCCTCAAGAGCAAGGTCCCTTCGAGCGAGTAACTCATTCTGAGTCCTCGACAAACGCATCGTAAGCGAGCAAGGCAAAGAGATTCCTAGTGTACTTTGTTGCAGTGAGCTTTGCAGAGATCTTAGGTGTAGCGTTAGTGGCGATTTGTCGCTCATATGCTTTGACAACACGCGGTGCACTGCGTAGCAGTTCCTGTTTGGAAATCCAGTACAGATCATCTAATGCGTGATACATGAAGTGAACCTGGTACTGTCTGTTGTGTCCCTTCCCTACGTGCTGTTTGATCCTGTCTATCTCGTGCCCGCCTTTGGTCGCACGAGGGATCATATCTTCGTGATAATCGAATGTCTTAGCATCACGGTGGAGGTACAGTTTGGATGCATGGAACACGGGGTATGTGCGCAGATGGGCTGGCACATCAACGACGTACGAAGGGCCAAAGTGATCTTCACCAATCACATCCAAAACTTCCCAGGGTCCATAATAGAGAGGGAGGAGTTTGCGTGAGACTCCTTCTTCTTCTGAGAATTCAGACATCTTGACCCAAACATAGCTTCCTACCTCAATATCCGACGGTCGGCGCTTCTTGTTCGCATGATGGATCATGGCGTGCTGTCGCTTGGTCATAGCTGCAATGGCCACTTTGAGCAAGCGATCATACTTGGCCCTGAAGCCAGGCCTGCCGGGTGTTAAACCAGTTGGCTGCTCAGGGAATAGGTAAGAGAGCGGATTCCGGATCTGCCAACCGTAATGCAGCCTGTTGGGTGTCATGCCGGTGGCGGAGTGGACGGAGTTGTTGTATAACCCCTTAACGGAATACAACTCTTCATCCCATGTTTCCTGATCCGGGATAATCAAAGCGCGAAGAAGTTGAAACACAGTCTAGTTGATCTCCTCGGCCAAACCGTTGGCTTCGGGGTGTCGGCCAGATGTCATACACACTTTGATCCCCAGTTGAGACGTGAAGTCCTTCCACTCAGATCGCTCACAAGAGTCTTCGGGGTTCTGAACTGCAGGATGTACTTCTGTTGGAATTCACGAATCACTAGTTCGGTTGGGGCATGAGGCGGCAAAGGGATCAGATTGAGGAACTTAGAGAATCGGTCAACAATCACAATAACTTGTGAGTAGCTGTTCTTACTTACCTTTCCCATGTCGGTGAAGTCGATGGAGATAGACTCCTCGGGACCATCGGGAATGGGTAGGGGTGTGAGTAGCCCCATCGGCTTTTGCCTACATGGTTTGATTCGTTGACAGACTTGACATTCAACCACAAACTTTTCAACAATCCCTTTCATGCCAAGCCAATCAAACCTTCTCAGCAAATTTGCGTACGTTTTTGCCATGCCGAAGTGTCCGCTCCGGCCATGAGCCACATCCAAAAAGTGCGTGCGGAGAGGCTCATGGTTGGGGGCACACACAAGTGGTCGTGGTTCCCGTAGCGACGAAAAATCAGTCCTCGATACCCGTGAAAATCAGGCTGACTACTAGGATCAGCCCGCAGCCGCTCAAGGATAAAACTAAGTTTCAGATCCTTGGTTGTCTGCTCTACGAGCTCCTCCTTCAGTTTTTTCCGGAGGTCGTAGGATTTCACAAGGCAAGTCATGTACTCAGGGTGGCGAGACAATGCGTCAGCGACTCGATTATAACAACCCTTTTTGTGTCTTAATTCAAAATCGAAGATGTCAATCTCATGGAACCAGCGAAGCAAGGTAGGGGACAGGGTAGTTTGTTGTTTGATCCACTTCAAGGTCTCATGATCTGAGAAGACTTTGAAGTGGCGTCCCATAAGATAGTGTTTCCAGTGATCCAACGCCATATGCAAAGCATAGAGCTCGTGCATATAGGTGGAAGTGGCTACCTTTACGCTGGGCATGTGTTTGCTATAGTACTCGAGTAGCCGCAAGCCATCGTCGTCATCTTGTTGCAGCACTGCACCGATTCCATACTGACTTGCATCCGTAGTAACTATGAATGTCAGTTTGGGATCTGCAATGCGGAGTACCGGGTAACTTACCAAGGCGTCCTTCAAGGCTTGAAAGGCGGTCGTGCACGCGGTGTCCCAAGAGTAGGGAACATTCTTACTTGTTAGTCGAGACAACGGACACGCAACAATGGAGAAGCGGGGCACAAACTTCCGATAGTATGACGCGAGACCAAGAAAAGAACGCAGTTCGCGAATGTTTGCGGGCTGAGGCCAGTTGCGTATGACCTCCACCTTGGTTGCTTCAAGCTCTAGGCCTGCAGCAGACAACCGGTGCCCAAGATATATGACACTATCCTTCCCAAACTCGGATTTCTCTAATTTGAGATGGAGTTGCGTCTTCTTGAGGATGGTCAGCACCTCCTCAAGGTGCTTGAGGTGTTCCTCCATTGACTTGTTGAAGACCAGAATGTCATCGAGGTAGACCACCACGAACCGGCCAATCTGTTCGCGGAGGACTTTGTCCATGAGGCTTTGGAAGGTGGCCGGTGCGTTCGTGAGACCGAAGGGCATTACGGTAAACTCGTAAAGCCCATCGCGTGTTTTGAACGCAGTTTTGTGCTGGTCCGCAGGATCGACTTCAATCTGGTGGTAGCCAGACTTGAGATCGATCTTGGAGAAGACTTGCACCCACCTGCGGCATCAAGCAAGTCATCTATACGAGGCAATAAATAGGCATTATTTCTTGTGATGCGGTTTAGACCGCGATAGTCAATACACATGCGAAGTTTGCCTCCTTTCTTCGGAACAAACAACACAGGAGCACCAAATTCAGATTCGCTAGGCTTGATCCACCCCTTGTCAATCATCTCATCAATCTGCCGCCGGAGTTCCTCCAACTCGCCGGGTCCCATTCGGTACACGCAGCCCTTTGGAGGAACAACACCTTCAACCAATTCGATGGTGTATCGGACCGATCGCATGGGGACTCCACGTGGCTCAACCAGGACTTCTGGAAACCGATCGAGGAGATTTTGGATGTCTGGTGGGACCGGTGGGGGTGGGGGATCCTAGATCCGGTCACATGTCGCGTATAGAGACGACCGAATCTGAAGTAGGATCATTTGGACCATTAGAGGGTGGAAAAATAGAGGTGCTAGAAGTAGAAGTACTAGAAGTAGGATCACTGATCGAAGTAGTAGTGGTAGTAGCCGCAAAAGTAGATGGCACATGGGTAGGAGGAACAAAGGCAACATACAACTGTTCTTCCTCCTTGTGCTTGCGCCATTTCTTGCAGAACTGCATTGCATTTAGAAAAGTCACTGGGGACTCGTGCTTCTCATCCAAGAGGACAGGAAGCTCGTTCCCTCTAGCACATTTTATCATGAAAAGTGACTCCTTCCACTTGGTCCATTCGCATTGGGACTGCAGCAAGCCCAAGCCAAGGACAGCGTCGAAGGGGCATTTGTCAAGAACATAGAAGTAAAATGCGTGTGTGACAGTTTTGTCCTTGTCAAAGGTAGTGCGCACACCTTTAACTGCATGCGTAGAGGAGACTTCTTTGTTGCCAACTTGGGTCCGACAAGGGTTCTGCAAGGCCACTTGCTTCATCCCCAAGCCCACCTTGCGTATCCCGTGAGGTGACATAAAGTTAACCATAGCACCACAGTCAACCAAAACACGGAGATAGCGGTGGTTTATGAGAAGTTTGAAGACGATCAACTTCACCGTCCCCTGGGCACGCTGCTGTTTCATCTCAGCCCAATGCTCCAAGTGGTAGTGAAAATCGACCGTCCCAGATCCTCCCAAGGCTCGACATACAAAACATTACTCACCTTAGCCTTGTGTTCAGCAGATGATTGGGCTTCAAGGGAGGACTGCTGATCTGTCTCAGATTCAGTCTCCCGTGCTGTAGAGTTTGCTGAAGTTAACTCTACGCCCGGTTCTGGTTTCCCTGCAGCCTATAACAATCTTGTACCTTATGGTTTGTTTTTTGGCAATGCAGGCATACCCCCTTCTTGAGTCTACCCCGCCAGTCATTTGCAGTAATCCGAAGGTCAACCCAAGGTTTAGTAGTTGGATCCTCTGGTTTAGGTGGGATCTTGACACCCTTGGGAAGTTGGACATAGTTCTTCCCTGCACTCCGATTTGGTCCCTTTGCAGTGACAGTCTTTTTAAAGGCAGTACATTTTTCTCCTTCTTTGTTTGCATCAGACTCATGGGCTGAAGAACAAGTTGTACCAGAGTCCTGTTCTTGGTCGTCACCAAGAGTGGGGTCATCTGCATCGGCTTCTTCTTCGGCCTCCAGCAGGTCACGCACAACAAAATGGTTGCTGCCTTTGAACCGTCTGCCGCCCATGGGCTTTTTGTTGCCTGCTGTGGTGACGAGGTTTACAGCCTCAAGACTGACTATGTCCTTCATCAAGGTGAACTCAGTCAGCAAAAGAATCAATTAGACTCTCAAGAGGTTCACTCTCCCTCTCAC